TCAGACTTACCTTTAGTGACATGGGAAAAAATAGCAAAACCCTGCAGGGTTGAAACTGAGTCCCCCTAAAACCGACGTCCTCTGCCGAGTTCCTGATTAAGCTCTCCATCCAAAACTATTCCCTTTCTCGTCCCACACCTGTTCCCCTCAAGATTGATGAATATCAAAGAAAAGGGGACTTTGAAACTGAGCGGGACCCTGTGTGGTCCTTCCGGGCACAAAAGCTTTTCCGTGTCCCCCATTTCTTGTTTGTGGGAAAAAGGTTTCAGCCTCCTAAATATCCCCGAGTGCCTAAATATCTGCCAAAGTGCAGATTCAAACAGTCACTAATTAGGGAAGGGCAGGAAGGCAGAAACAAAGGAAAGGCAGTCAAGAAACACTGGTGCAGCGATAAAGCAGAGTCCCAGCTCCTCCTCGAGGGATTTACTTAACAATCTGATACAGATCTCTGAGTTCTTCTGCTGGACCTGGGGGTCCCACCCAGGGGGAGGATGGTGACTTCGGGTCTGCACAAGCACGTAGACCCCAGAGTGGAGGGAACCAGAAGGCTGATGCCTGAGATTCCTGGAGCACCATCGCGTCACCTCCCCACCAACCAATCAGAGGAGAGTTACAAACCCTGCACCCCCCCCCACACCGCAACCAATTTTGCCTTTAAAAACTCCTCCCTGAAAACCATCAGGGAGTTTGGGTCTTTTGAGTACAAGTAGCCCATTCTCCTTGCTTGGCCCTTGCAATAAACCTTTCACTGCTCCAAACTGTTTGGTTTGTTTAGCCTCACTGTGCATTGGGCACACGAACTTGGGTTCGACAACAGGGTCGTGATACCAGCGTGGCACCTGGCATTTGCTCACAAACTGTTACTTTCCTTTTCTCCTTTCTTTCCTCCTACTGTGTGCCAGGCACCATGCTAAGAGCCAAGGGTCTGGATCAGTAAGGTACAGCACCTGCCCTCAGGAAGCCCAGGCTAGCCAGGGAGACACATGCGCAACTACTAACAGAATGGGACAGTGATTTATTAGTGTGATGACGGTGAAAATAATAAAAATGATGATGATGTTTCCCCAGCACTGACAATGTGCCAGGCCCTCTCCACGGAGCATCTCACTTCACTCTCACAACCATCCTGAGAGGTGGATGCTGGTATAACCCCCATTCCACCCAGGAAGGAGCAGAGGCTCAGAGCCCAAAGGCAGACAGTGAGGGAGCCTGCAGAGCTAGGGTGAGGGGAGTGCACAAAAGCAATGGCTGGATCTGAAGGGGTCAGAGAAAGCCTCAGGGAGGAGGTGATGATGCCCGGGGCTTTGAAGGATGCACCGGGAGCAGGCAGAGGGAGCAGCAAGCACAAAGGGGTGTGGGTGGGTGGCTGGGGACTTTGTGAGTTGAGAGACTCTCACCCCTGATTAACACCGTCAGGACCCACTGTGCTCAGGGCTGCCAACTGGACAGGGCTCTACTCTCAACAGACAGATGGAGTTGGCAGGCTTGAGAAGAGATTATTTCACCCCTGCAGTTTACAGAAATGCAAGCAGCTAATACTAGGTCATTAGTAATAGTAATCACAGCCAATCAAGGCTGTTGCCATCTCTTTAACAAAAAAAGAAAAGAAAAAAGAAAAGAAAAGAAAAAGGAATACTGAGGGTATTGACTCAAACGGCAGACATTCTTCATTTAATCCTACTTTTAGAGCTTCCTCAGCTTTGGTTCAGATATCAGGGGCTCAGGGCAGCTCATCTCAGCTTTCCTGTCACTTCACTGGGGTCCTTGGGTGAGTCCTAGTCTCCACCTCCCCTCTCTGGGCCTCAGTCTCCTGTATAAAATGAAGGGGATGGGCTAGAACAGAGGGTTTTAATATGTGGTTTCCAATCCAGTGGTCACCTCAGACCTATAGGGTCACAAACTCTGGGGATGGGGCCCAGCCTTTGATGCTTTAACAAGTCTTCCAGGGGATTCTGATGAGAGCCCTGGGTCACAAGAGCCCCAGGGTAAGGACCGTTCCTGCAGTAATACTTGCGCTGTGCTCTAAGGTATTAAGGGTTAGTAACTCTTTGGACTGAGTTATCTCTTGCCCAAGACAGGAAACCTTTCAGGGTAAGAAAAGAAACTGTTTTCTTTGACCATCTAAAGCCCAGAGTCCAGATGAGCTTTTCTAGAGAGGCTCAGGCACATGTGGCTGACTGTGAAGGCCAGAATTTTTTTGGGCGGGGAAGGGTAGGAAGTCTCACACTTGGCATGTGATGAAAGCAGTCGTATCTGCAGCTAGAGAAATAAAGATGAGAGACAAGCTGCCTTCTCTTTTCAGTTCCAAAACAATGACTCACGTGTGTGTGTGTGTGTGTGTGTGTGTGTGTGTGTGTGTGTGTGTGTGTGTAGTAGGTGGGGCAGGGTGGTGGCCCTGAGAGGTGCAGCTTCCCCTCTCTCATCCAGGAGCTTCCTGGTGTGTAAATTCTCTACTGACAGCCTCCTCTTGAAGACCTTTCATTACAAAACCTCAGAAGAGCCACAAACAGCCATGGGGGCGATTTCAACAGAGCTGGGTCAACAGACTTAAGCGAGGTTTGGCTTCCAAGATAGTAAGAATGGAAAGAATATCTTGTCTAAAAGATCCAATTTTCCCAGTTTGAACTTAAGGCTAAAAACCGTCAAAAAGTTGGAGAGAGTTTCACAGTACTGCCCTCGGCTTCTTCATGCAAGGAGGCACACCCAGACTGCCTTGGAGAAGTGTTAGCGGTTTGGGCCATGGCCTGTGGGTCCTCTCTGCGTTGGTGGGCAGAAATGAGTGCCTATGAGACCAACTGTCCAGTCATTTTCAGGAATTCCAGACCCTCACTTGGCGGTGTCTCAGTAACAATAATAAATATTACCACTTTCTTCTTTTTTTTTTTTTTTTGCGGTACGCGGGCCTCTCACTGTCGTGGCCTCTCCCGTT